CTCCAGTCTTCACCAGAAACCCACCGAAAGGCCAATACTTCCAGTCCAATAAGTCTACTCTTAAAACTTGTTCACCACGCTTAATTCAAGTTTGAGTCACACTTTCCAAACGTTACGCTGTGCACCACAAAAGGAGAGACCACGACAGCGAGGGACAAAGCACAGTCGCTGTGGTGGAGTTTTACTGCATGGCCTGATGCAGACCAATACACTAGTGCTGCAAGAGCCAGCCTCCACTTCCACTAATTAAATTGCAATTCATTTAGTGTGAGTGGCCAATAACATATTAATTACAAAAGGCCAGGTCAGCAGAAAAGAGAGTGCCTAGTTTGTTCCTTTACTCCACAAATGTTCTCCTCAGTACTTGCAAAAAAGACGCAACAGAAGCATCAGCTTTGTTATATTTCTATCATAATATAATACAATATAACTTTATGGCTGACCTTGATGGCTTAACTAATTAAGCAATCGCATCATGTCATATATCACTGAAAAGCTAATTTCCTGTAGAATTTAACCAGTTTCCAATTATAAATATGCCTTTTGCAATAACAACAACATTTACAATGGTGCATGTTTTCTGAGATCTCACTGGTGTAATGCAGGCCCATTCTCAAAATCAGCTTTCTCTACATTCAAAACCAAAAATCCCAGTCCCTAGAATACCTGCATTCATTAAGTTTTACATGTTCATTCCTAATCCTGTTCTGAAGAACACTGCAGAAGGATTTCCTAATGTACTGCTCATAGCTGGATTTATGTTAAATTTTGTACAAAATGAGATGACCGTGTTTGGTCTTGATTTAACAATAAAACATCAATTTCAACAATGTTTTCTTTAAAATCCTTCCCCTGGAGTGTGTCTGCACAATGCATATTTGAGCAGATTATCTCATGTGTGTATCTCAACATTTTTTTTTTACAATTTTTAATACAAAAAATAAGAATATCAGTAATCAACTGACAAATAATCAGTCACATCTACTGTTTTCAAAAATGACTCTTTCCACCTGTAATGTCTTAAAAACATTATAGCCAAGCTGCATCTTGCATTTAAAGGCTAATCATGCGCTATACAACTTTTTCGATCCTAATAAAGCACAGAAATCAAAGAGTAAAGAATGACAAAAATCACTCATTATCAACACTGTTAGGGGTCACAATTAATGTAACAAATTAGTCGAACACATTAAGAAATTCTTTCATCAACCCATGACCACAGCTTTAAATCATACCGTCCTCTCACTCGCCTTCAGCAACACATCCGCCAAGCTTTCTGGTTTTCCTCCCACTTTCCCTTTACTTCAACCTGCCAAATAACACAGGATAATATCTGGAGAGGAAAATAATGGGTAGATCAAAAAAAAAAGAACATAAAAGCTTGAGGGGAAGAATAGATGTTGCCTGAAACACTGCTTAGATAGTGCTTGCGCCTCATGCTGCGTTCGTTATTTCTGTGCATCACACCATACATTAAGTTACTGTATTTACTGCCGCTGCTCATAATTCAATGGCCCCTGGGGACTTAACATAATGATATTAGTGCTGGTAGTTTTCACTGCAGTAATTGTCATATATTTACTCTACACTGAGTTTAAAGGTTCATGTTAAATTATATGACAAAATAAGACAAGAACCTCCCAAGGCGTGACATTAGTCTAATTAAATAAATAACTAGACTAGCCTTATAAAGATAACGATATATTAATACATATACAGAAATGAGCATATGTGTTATTTTGGACAGGCTTTCAAGGAGTCATATCCTACATTTTTCTTGGATCTTTTCCCCTTGAGGTCCACTTAAAACTTTGGTACAAACACTGGTGCAGAAAGTCACAATTCATTTTTACATGACCATTTTCCACCCGGTCTTTATCCCTTAGGATTAAACAAGCTGTTTTTGGTACTGTCCCTTTAAAACGAACATATGTAAATGTGCTCTGTTCTGACCGGCTGCCCTGTATCGAGCCTCATTCAAAGAGCTGAAACACTCCTTAGAGCTTCAGTATGGATGGCTGGTGCTAAACTGCTGTAGGCTGAATAAGTGGATATATGTTAATGATTAGGTTCTTGTGACATCACAGAAATAACTAATTCAAAACGGGCTGTTTTCACATTTATGGACTGAGTAGTGAACAGTACGGTTAGAAACTTGAAACACGTTTACATATCACTTTAAACTCCTTTACTTCAATAAAGCCAAGGAAATACAAAGTCATGATGAGGGCCACCACTGAGACATGTATACAGGTCCGTACTGATGCCTTTGAAAATATACCAGTGCTGCTTCAAAACCTCTGTGCACCATATAGCTGCACCAACAAGCAGCACAAACAAATCAAAAATTGCACCATTAGGAACCAAATCTAATTTGACATGTTTGGCGCAGCACTGCCGGCGAGAATAAAAACCTTACTTGACTAGATCCAAACCTTCAACTCTAAACTCCACCTTTAATGCAACAGCCAACACTGAAAGTGGCTTTTGCGCACCCTTGGGCTCAATTTCTCCGCGGTTACCCAACACTGACCACGCGCCGTTTTACCCCCACGTCTGCTGATCAAAACTGATTAACTGATGTGTGGTACATATACGCAGGGCTGCAGTCCAAACAAGCTGTTAACGAGCTCTCAGTGATACTGTTTGACAGACTCAAGGCTACAAGGCCAAGCCAGGCTCTTTAAAACAGCCAGGATTAGAGATGAGCCATAACCGCACATGCAGGCTGCTCCAACACAACATCGCAACGTTTAGAGCTGGCTGTTCTGCGCTCGCTGTGGTTCTCTGCGGGATATAAACAAACAGCACAACAGATGTAACAGCAGGAAGTGAACCAAACCATAAATGTACATTGTCCAGCCAGACCAGCCCCTGAGGCGGCGTGCAGTAGCAGTCTTTGTCTCCGGAGTGAATTGAGCAGCTCATGTACAAGCTGTCCGCTGAAACCGAGATGGCAGAGTGTAATAACAAGAGCCGAGTGACAACATAGGGGCCTCAGTGGTCAAATACACGAAACCACAAGTGAAAACGCTTGCTCAGTAAGAACGCCAAGATTTCAAACCAAAACCTGACATGACTGGAAGCTGAGGTTTTAACTAAACAGAAAAAAAAATACTCAAGAGTCCAGAAAGTAAATGCCCATGTTTGATATTTTGGTTTGCTCTGCTATTTCTTATTCTAGTTATGCACAATGGCAGCTGAGTAATGATGTGTGCACAGCAGCATCTTTATTAAGAGTCTAATTTGAGATCACAACGCTTAGGACACATGTGACTAAGTCTGCAACCACAGGATGACGTTGTGTGACAGCATCTGAGCTGAGTGGCATGTGCAGTGACGGAGCACAACAGCCAGTCAGCCGGCAGCCACTGGGAGCTTAACACGAGGGGTCTGTATGCTCTCGAGCCGAGGCTGTGCACAGGTCTTTCACCTGCGCTCGGTATCCGCACCACAGCCAAGTTTAACCCACAGCAGCTCCAGCATTCAGAAGGTGTTGCTCCATCGTGCTGGCCAACAGTGTTGATGAAGGCTCAGTGACAAACTAGCAAACTATACAAGGGAAAGAGATTAAAAGTCAGATAGATACTGATCTCTCATATGAAATAAACCAACACTGTTTACTTGGAAAAAAGAAAAGGCTGCTTTGTTGTTATTAATTTAAGTAATTAAGTAATTGTTACATTTTATTTACTTATCCTATGTATGCATATACATTACTTCTATTATTTAAATGTGTTTTTATGTGTGTTAACTTATTGTGAGGAAGGCATACATTCTGCATGCTTATCTGGTTGATAAATATACAGAGGCATTTTAATACTTTGCCCTTTTAGGCTATAGGAACAAAATAAAAAAGTAGTGCTAAAATAACAACAATAATCATTTTAAAAAATATTACCACAATAAATACAGTAACTTAGACCGGACAACCTCAACAAAACACAGAGCAGGTGCAGAACTCAGTCCAGCACTGAGGCTCAGGGTTATGTAGTGAACGATGCCAGTACTAATATTATTATGCTAAATAACATAATAATGTTAGTACTGGCAGCGTTCACTACAGTAATTGCCACATGTTTACGCCACATTATGAGAGTTTAAAAGTTCATATTAATAGCGAAAATTATACGACAAAAGAAGACAAGAACCTCAGAAGGAATGACACTGACAAAACTAAAGAAACTAACTAACAGGACGACAATAACAATGATAATGATGTCCAGCGCTGAGGCTCCGTCTTCCAACAGCCACTTGTGAGCCGCTGCTTTCAGTGCGTTTCCACACTGCATTTAACACACACTTAAAACCGCATTTGGTGCGCCTTTAAAAACTGCATGTAAATATTGCATCCAAAGAGCATTGAAAGTGCATGTGAACACTGCACTTAACCTCTGAACGCAAAGCGCGTTTAAACATTACATTTACGGCGCGTTTCAACGCTGCATGTAAATTGCGTTTCATTGCTGCATCGCTCAGAATCGTGAGCGCGAGGCCGCGGTGTGCCAGACTCCCACGGCGACGTTTTTGCAGCCCAGCAGCAGAGTTGCACTCACACACTCCGGGCCTCGCAGGGGGAGCTGCATTATGACAGCGCGCGGCCACAACACACGCGCGCGCGCGCGCGCGCACACACACACACAGTGCGTATCGGATCGGATCCCTGTCATTGAGAACGAACCGGGAAAACCATCCAAACACACCGGGATCCGCAGCAGTAGCTGCAGCAGCACCAGGCAGGCGCGTTCACGGAGAAACGCGCTGGTTCGTGAACGCGCGAACAGGCACATAAGGCTCTAGGCTGCGGCGGAGAGGCTGCGCGTTCGGAATTGAGAGAGAGAGAGAGAGAGAGAGAGAGAGAGAGAGAGAGAGAGAGAGTTACATAAACGCGAGCTCACCCGGAACACGAGCGAAAAATACTCCTTGTGTGTGTGTGTGTGTGTGTGAGTGTGTGAAGGCAGAGCGGAGAAAAGCCGGATAAACACGGCGGCGATACTCACTGCGGAGAGAAAGGCGGTCGGCAGCGCTCGAGCTCAGGGCTGAGGAGAAAACCCACCGGCCTCCATCAGGATGAAGTTCAATAAAGCGCCGCTGAGAGGAAGCGAGAAGCCCAGACACAAATACACACACAAATACACACATACACACACCGGGGTCGCTCGACGGCAGAGGGCCACGTGGTTGGAGAAACCGATTCTCACTGGTTCACGCAAGAGACGAACACGCCCACGAGCAGAGAGCCCGGATTGGAGACTGAAGGCGCAGGAGCAAATCTGATTGGTCAGAGACACGAAGGACTGGACATACCGCACAGATCGTTTAATTTGCACAATGCAAAGTAGTTGTTTTTGTAGCTGTAAAGTACAGACTGGACAGTTAGCTAGTACAGGTAAACGTGTTCATCATTTCGGATATATTATGTCCAAAAGTGTCCAGACACCTTTTCTAATTAGTGAATTTAGCTAATTTAAGGTGAACCCAAATTTAAGGTGTGCTCAATTATGTTCTATTATGCACACACCGCTTGTATAATCTCTATAGAAAAGTATTTCCAATAGAAGGTGACACTCTGGAGCAGCCGAGCGTGAGCCCAATGCCAAGCCTCAGGTGTATAAACCTCCCAGCATTGGGCTGTGGAGCAGTGGAACTGTGTTTTCTGGAGTGATGGAGCTCCATCCAGTACCTTCAGGGATGCATTGGAGTGATCTAGAATTGATCATCCAACATCAGTGCCTGATCTCACTAATGTTCTTGTTTTTGAATGAAATCAAATCCTCATATCAATGTTCCAGCATCTAGTGTGAAGTCTTCTCAGAGGCTGTTACTGCAGGGGGACAAACTCTGTATTGATACCCTTGATTTTTCAGAAGAATCATTAAAGTAGCTGGTGTTTACACAATTTTGGACACACAGTGTAGCGGAATACACAAAGAAACTGTACCAAAGAAATATATCATCACTCTCAGAACAAAACATCATATTTCCAATAAAGTAACTTTACAGGAGAAGAAAAATGTTCACAACTTTCAGTGTTAGTTAATGGAACAAGATTTTTTTTTTTTTCATTTTGGATCATTTTTATTGGTCCATTCATCATGAAATTGTGACAAAGTGTGAGCATTTTCAAATTATGTAACAAAGAACTACAAAAATGGAGATATAAAGTTTTGTTCTGACAGTGAGGACATATTGGCTGTGTCTGTCATGAATAATAAAAAACATAATAAACGCTGCTCACTCAGTATTCTGAGGTTGATGGGGAGCCAGTCATGTCAGAATCAAATGTTTGTACAAACGCTGCCTGTTGAGGTTCCTCCGTTCAGCCTTTTTTTTTTAAAGTCAGCATAGATGTATCCTTTGCTGCCTTACATATTCCATATCATTCTGTGTCAACACTGATGCAGTTAGAAAAAAATGTATAAAACTCCAGCACTGACAAAGTGGACGACAATACCTTCAAAGGCACTGACTCTTTAGACAGCATAGACAGCAAGACATCGAGGCAGCTGCCTTCCGTTTTGGACACAGCCATTATGTACACAGTATGCTCTTTTTTATTAATATGCTTATGACTAAATGTGTAAAACTGTAATATAAGGCATTATATAAGACATTTGACTGTTTCATAACAAAACTTTAAAAATATATCATAGAACAATTATGAATACTGTATATTGTTGCTGTCTGAAAATCTTGTATCCCCAACATGGCCACTTTATAGGAGAAGGAAAAATATCCTTAATTTTTAATATATGTTGAGGTAAAATATTTTTTCTTCCAAGTCACTTTTGAGCATTATTATTGGTCCATTCATCATGATCATTTCACACAATACAAAGGGCAGCAAGAGTTTCAAGTTTCAAGTTTATTTGTCATTTGCACAACATGTCAGGACATTTATGCATTGAAATGCTTGTGGTGAGGCTCAGACAATCACTCTACAGAAAGTAAATAAGTAAAAATAAAATTACAAGAAAAACAAACTGAAATATATTAAATATACACAAAATATAGAGAACATACAGATAAAATATACACAAATGTAGAGAAATGTACACAAATATACAGGCAATATACATTTTTATACAGTTTAGAAATTATATAATAAAATAAAAAAAAGACAAAAATGGAGAGACATGGTTTTGTCCCGACAGCAACGATATTGTTATGAATATTATATTGTAGGCCCGTCAAGCTATATTAAAAAAATTAATCGCATGACTTTGCGTAGTAATTAAGTACAAGTTTATTTTATTATTTAATCTGTTAGAATTTTACGCTAATGAAATATTTTAAGTGCAACTTAAACTTAAGTTCATGTAACTGGAACATGAGAAAAAAAATCAGTTGAAGGGGAGTTTTAGTTTTAGTCACTCACCAGTAAGCATGATCGTCACTGTGTTAGCTCCAGCTCCCTAGCTAGTCTTACTCTATCTGTGTCATACAGCTTGTGTACCCCAGTGATGACTGTGGCTCTCGAGGGCAACTCATAAGTGGAGTCGTTGGATGCGACCTTCATCCTCCACTATGTAAATCCGCCTGCATGTTGTGTCTGTCTCTTTAATAGTTGATATCATTAATTTGCTGGAGGTTGATGTGTCCATTGTTTTTTCGCCAAATAGGGTGTTAGATGTGTGCTTGGCTTGCATGTGATATTGTAGGCTGGATGCACTCCGGTGGTAACTAAACTAAACTAAACTAAGCCCGACAGTAACTACACACAGCCTTGGTTTTGTCGAGGGAGCCATCTGGCAAAGTTTGGAAATGGAACTTCCCATCCAAGAGGCCTTTCTCCATCATTCACTGACTCAAAGAGTACAGAGTTACCAATACAACCTGATTCACTTCAAGTCTGGAGTGGCATGCATTCAATTTGCAGCTTGAACTAGGGGTGATTTATTGGGTCAAAAAGAAGCTGCGTTAACAGCACTAATTTTTTAACTGTGTTAAAGTGAGATTGCGTTAATGCGTTATTATCACATTAACTTTGACAGCTCTATTGTTATTTGTTCATTTGAATTTCAGCAGAATGATTTGGGGACATCAGAACCTGAATGGTGGGCATACTTATCCAAAAAAAAGACAATAAAAGGGTTAATGATGCCTAATTTCCTTGGTTGGGTTTCATTTTAACTAATGTCATTTGACAAATCAGAAAATACAAAATGCTGCAGCAGTCGACAGAGACAAAGCGGTCATTATGTAATACATGAAAATGACTTGTTTTATATGTGGCTCTCTGGTGAATATGAAAGACTCCTGCCAGAAATCCTCACAGTTTACATTCATTTAGCATGGGGTGTCTGGAGCATCTGTACTGTAGTAAAGCACTGGCTGTCTGGAGGATTCAGGCTAGCGTGCTATAGTGTCCTTGTGTGTGTTTCTCCTCTTTACATCTTTTATACCCTTAATGCGATTTTCGTAGTTCTTGCATGAAAGTGCCTTAGGGGTGCTTTCATTTATAGGAGCTTTTCATTTAATTCTTTTTTATAGCTTCCATAAAGCCTGATGGGTTTAACAGATGACATATACACACACAGAGTGATGTCACCTGCTGACATTATTCATAAGAAGGCATACAAAACCTCACTAAACCTCATGTAGTTATGACTTGTCTTTTGAGTGAGTGTAATGAATGGAAGAGTGATTTATTTATTACCTTCAGTTAAAACACATAGTGCAATTCTTCCAACTGCCTAGAAAAAGAGCTGACCTGACATTCACTAAATAATTATCTGCAACATTATTATAACCAGCCTAAATCCTTTCCACTGTATATAAGATGGTGAAAATGATGTGTCCCCTATAAACACATCATCTGCTGGTGCAATATTACTTCAATGATGTTGGAATGATGTACTACTGGCCTGCCAGGTCTCTGAAACAGAAAAAAAAAACCCCGCTGAGACATTAGGTTTCCCCATTTTACTTCAGGACGGCTAATTCTATTTCTCCATTTGTTTTAAACCATGTTAATTAATGAATGCCTCATTGTCCTCTGCTCACATGCAGGGCAGAAAGCATTACGTATTCTGCCTGTAACTAGGGTAGTCCATTGAGCCATGAGCCCCGACCAAATTAGAAAGAGAAGGGGGAGAAATCAATAGTGCATATGTTTTTTAGGAGAGCACTGTTTATCGATCGAGCTGTGCTGATATATCAAGGGCGAGGATTAGGGGCTTGTAAGTATGTCAGAGTACGGCTGAAGTTTGAAAAGTTTGCTGTCTCACTTCCTCTCACCTTGAGGGCCTGAGGGTGAAGTACCAGTACTCTGCCAATAGTAAACCTGCAGACATTTTAACACTAAGCTTGCTCGTTCTCTCTCTCTCTCTCTCTCTCTCTCTCTCTCTTTCTCTCTCTCTCTCTCTTGCTCTCTCTCTCTCTCTCTCTCTCTCTCCTCTCTCTCTCTCTCTCTCGCTCTCTCTCTCTCTCTCTCTCTCTCCTCTCTCACTCTCTCTCTCTCTCTCTCTCTCTCTCTCTCTATCTCTCTCACTCCCTCTCTCTTTCTCTCTCGCAATCATTCTTACTCTAACTCCTTATAAGTTGCTGAAACTACTGAGAAATGTATCTATTGCAACAATAAAAGCACAGTGTAACTTCAATTTAGATTTTTTTCCATTGTGGTTCATTGAAACAAGCAGAAAAAATCAGTGGCTAATGTTTACACCATTTGTGTTATTAAATGAAAAAAAGATCTTTTATTATGATTTGAATCTGAAGAAAAGTTATTGTTGTGTGTAAAACCATACTTCACATTTTTTCACTGGTTTTGGAACAAATTGAAAAAAATAATGCAGACAGGCTGTTTCCTCCGAGTCACTTGAATCATCACTGCACTATTTTTTCTGCAACATCATTAGACAGCTCAACACACTGAGGGAACATTATTATTATTATTATTATTATTATTATTGTTGTTGTTGTTGTTGTTGTTGTTGTTAATGTTAATAACAATAATAACAAATAAAATGCATCTCAAAGTACTTTACAATGTAATGTGATGGAAAATAGAGAGAGCGAAGAAACAAAATGTAGTAAAATAAATAAATAAATTTAATAGTAAACATGACAATACTAAAACATGCATCAAATAACACCAACAGCAGAAAAGGAGAAAAAAATAGAAAAATATAATAAAAGAACAACTGCTAAAAAAAAAAAAATTAAATTAACTTAAAGGGTAAAAGTAATAAAAACAATTTTAAAAAATAGTTAAATACTAAAGTGAAGAAAACACTAACTGCCAAATCTATTACAATTCTGTTTCCAAAAAAAATTTGGATGCTGAGCAAATGTAAATAAAAACAAAATGTAATACTGTGCAAATCACTTAAACCCTGTATTTAATTGAAAATAGTGCAAAGACAGCATATCATTTTTGAAAAATATATGCCCATGTTGAATTTGACGCC